CTCCTCTCCTCTCCTCTCTCTTCTCTTTCCTCTCCTCTCTCCTCTCTTTTGTCTTCTGTCTCTCCTCTCCTCTCCTCTCTCTTCTCTTTCCTTCTCTCTCCTCTCTTCTGTCTTCTGTCTCTCCTTTCCTCCTCTCCTCTCCTCTCTCTTCTCTTTCCTCCTCTCTCCTCTCTTCTGTCTTCTGTCTCCTCTCCTCTCTCTTCTCACTCCTCTCTTTTCTCTCCTCTCCTCTCTCTCCTCTCTCCTCTCCTCTTCTCTCTCTAGCAAACAGCGCTGCTATCCATGGCTGGAAAGTGATGCCTCCATTGCATCAACTATGGTGGAATTGTTTGCATCCAGCATAGCCGTTTTACACAAAGGTTTTAAAGGTAAGAAGATTGAGATCTTCTGGGATCTCAGTGGCTTCACGGGTCGGACAGTTATAAGGTAGCTTCTTATGTCACACTGGATTAATTCCTCCTTTAAAATCCCTTTGTAAGGGATTCTTGGTACTCTTTGAGGTTGGTTGTTTTCTTTCAGACTTTTCATTACCAAACTCGGTAACATCATCAGTGCTAGTGCATCGTAGCTCCGATGACGTTGCATAGTTTGGTGATGAAATGTCTGCAAGAAAGCAACCAAGCTCAGAGAGCACCAAGGACCTCACAATCCTCCTCCTCCATGCAACAAACCCCAACTTCTTTCTAGCACTGATATTGTTACCTAGTTGAAATTAATGAAATGTCTGCAAGAAAACAACCAAGCTCAGAGAGCACCAAGGATCCCTCATTTCAACCCCGAGCTACTAATATTCTCTTATATCAATTATCCCCTGTAATTTAGTCTTCCCAACTGGAAGTTGATGCCATAAAAGCCAACACAGCTCTAGGTTGCATTAACAGAGAGAGAGAGAGAGAGAGAGAGAGAGAGAAGAACATATGATGTTGTAATATCACTTTACAATACCTTGGTAAGGTCACACTTGGAATACTGCATCCAGCTTTGGTTGCCATGATGTAAAATAGATACTGAGACTCTAGAAAGAGTGCAGAGAAGAGCAACAAAGATGATTAGGGGACTGGAGGCTAAAACACATGAAGAACGGTTGCTGGAATTGGGTATGTCTAGTTTAATGAAAAGAAGGACTCGGGGATGACATGATAGCAGGCTTCCAATATTTGATGGGCTGCCACAAAGAAGAAAGGATCAATCTATTCTCCAAAAAACACCAGAAGGCAGGCAGGGCAAGAAACAACGGATGGACACTAATGAAGGAGAGAAGCAACCTAGAACTAAGGAAAAAATTCATGACAGTGAGAACCATCAGTGGAACGACTTGCTTCCAGAAGTTATAAATGCTCCAACACTGGAAAGGTTTTTAAGAAGAGATTGGACAACCATTTGTCTGAAGTGCTGTAGGGTTTCCTGCCTAAGCAGGGGGTTGGACTAGAAGACCTTCAGGATCCCTTCCAACTCTGTTATCCCGTTATTCTGTTTTTCTAAGTAGCTTTTACTACAACTCCCAACTGGTGGCAGTCCTTCAAAATATATATATATATACGTAATTGTTCTGGCGAAAAGTTCCCTGATTCCTACAGTCTCTTAGTTTCCCTTCTTCAATATACAGGTAGTATATTCGCTAGTAGCATCCCAAGGTCCAGGCCATGGATTTCCACTGCTCTCCTCTCCTCTGCCTTCTGAGCAGCTATGCATTAGGCACTGGACCCAGCTGCTGCTCCTCTTCCTCATCAGCCACCTCCAGACCTGGGGGCTATTGACCGTCCATCTGAGGGCTGATGGACGGCTCAGACTCCACCTCTCTCTCTCTCTCTCTCTTTTTGGATTATTGTAGATAAGGTGCTGCCAAGCGACCCTGGAATCCTTTGGCTTCTTGTGATGCACTATTGCGAGTCGTACACGGCGCCCAAAATGCCGGAGCACCTCCTTCACCTATTCCACGTGGAATTGGGCCGCCTCCCCTGGAAGGAAGTTCATCCGGATCAGCGCCTGATGGAGGAGTTCTTTAAGGTCAAAAA